TTCTGGGGGAGGGGCCTGTTGCACTGTTTCTCACATATCCCTGCCTGGGTGGAGTTGTGCCAGGGGGATGGGCTCATTTCAAATTGTTCAGGGGGATGGGCTTAGTGCAAACTGTCCTCTGTGTGGCTTTTGTTCCCTGGAGGCTTTCTGCACCTCTTCAGAGGATCAGAGCAAAAATGGACATGCCTGCCGGGTCTGGGTGGCTCAGTGGGTTAAGCCTCTGCCTTCAGCTCAGGTCATGATCTCAGGGTCTTAGGATCAGAGCCCTGCATTTGGCTCTCTGCTCAGCAGGGAACCTGCCTCCCCCGCCTCTCTCTGCCTGCCTCTCTGCCTATTTGTGATCTCTGTCTCTCTGTCAAATAAATAAATAAAATCTTAAAAAAAAAAATGGCCGTTGCCCAAACCTCTGGCCCAGAGCAACAAGATCGCAGTCTTTCTGGACAAATAGTCTCCACTTCTGTATGCATGGCTGAAAACAACAGCCTCCTGTGGTGTGTACCCACTGCAGCTCTCTCAGAGGTAGTCACAGGGACCCAGAAGTGCCATTGCCCTTTGTGATTCCAAAACCGTAAGTGGCTGAGGGTTCCCACGCACACCCGCAACTCCTGGATTGTGTTTGGGTGTCACCCTAATGTCCTTTCCAGGATGCTATTGCCTGTAATCTTTTCCCCAGTCATGGGGACAGCTGTTTCTTCCTCCCAGGGGATGGTAAAATGCCCCCAGGTTCCAGTCCTCAGGCTGCTCAGGAAAAGAGTGATTACCAGCTGGCCTGGATAATGGTTTATGGTGACCCAAGCTGAGAGTCTTCTCGTGGCTCACGGACCATATCCTGCTTCCCTGCTCCACTGTTCAGGCACTCTACAGGTTCTGGCATCCCCATTCACTCTGTGACTCCTTGGATTGCCAGACCACAGTGCCTCACCTAGAATTCTGCCTTTTCATTTCCAGAGCCCCTTTAGAGGGCTGCCTCTCAGTTGAGCAGATTATTAAGGGTTCCAAATTTTTGCTCCAGTGCTACATCACTTTCCAGGAGCCAGCTTATAGAGGCTTTCTCCCCATTCTGTTTATCTTCCAATATCTCTCCTCAGATTCATGACTCTGCATGTCCTACTTTGCAAAAAGCAGTCACTTTTCTGCTTGTAGAGATCCATACACATAAAATATCTCAGGCTGATTTTGTGGGTGTTCCAAATGGTTTGAGAGATAACCTGCTAAATTCAGGGGACCCATTGAAACGGGATCCCCTACTCCTCTGTCATCTGGCCTCCCTCTGCCAATGAGTTCTTGAACCATTGGAGGTACACTGGGCAATCTGACATGGCGTACTATTCATTTGAAGGTAGGGTTATTGGTAGTTTTTGTTTGTTGACATGTACTAACTCATGAACATGTACTGACATGTACAACTCACCAGGAAGGTTACATAAGAAAATGATCATTTACATAGAAAAGTTGGGCATCCAGGTGTCCCCCATCTCTTGTTATCCAGCAATCAGGTAATTTCAGTTTTCCCTGTGGTTTTCTCCTTCCTACAAATCCCAAAGCTAGGGCTGTCCTACTTCTACAGCTGACATGACACTAATGGGCATTGGGGAGATGAGTTGAGGACATCCCTTCCCTACAACTACTTATAGTCTCATTTCACACAAGCAAACTCACTCTAAAGTTTCACTTGGGTAAGTGACCATTTCTCAGTTTTAATAACAGAGAATGCTCAAGAGTTAGATGGGAGTTTTTGTTGAAGTGTTAGAATTCATTTCTCATATTTTCAGTCTTCTATCTTACTGAATTATAACTACCATTAGTCCTTTCCATATTAAAGGTAAGTTTATTTAATGTTTTCAGGATACAGATTTGTAGATTTATGGAATATTTGTGATGTTCTATTTGAATTTGAATGCTTTTTACTTTTCCTCACATTCCCTGCCTGTGCTTTTCCCCAGAATTACTGAGAATATAGTGCCTTTAAAGAATGGTATCTTTGTCAATAAGCATTGTGTTTTAAGGCAATCAGAGAAAGACGAGTTGCATGCTTTTCAGTTCATTCAGTGGTATCTAATAGTTAACATACTAATTCTTTAGGCATTTGTACATTTTACAAAATATTTTTGTGCAACTGATCTATGTACAAAGTTATTTTTTCCTTCTTGAAATTGCCAGCTCTGTTTTTCATGGCATCCCTATTGCCACTGAACCAACCAACTTACCTGCACTTTGTCACTTGTAATTCTCATAATGACTTTGTGCTTTCAATGACTAATCATAGTTTTACAGTGTTTTTATAGAATATGGTAAAATTAATGAAGAGTATAATATTATCGAGTGACACAATAATAAAACAGAAACAAAGATGTGATTTTGCCATATAGGTTATGCATTTTATATATTTTTATAATATAAATATTATATATTACATATGTGTGTGGCAGTCTGCAAACAACTGTATATATTCTATAACTTACTAAAATACAACTCTAAATGAAAGATTTTTCTAAAGATGAGGAAATACATTTTATCAAACTGTATTTTCTCCAATAAAATATACAATAAAGTATAGTTTAATGAGAAATATTACTTGAGTTCTTGTGAATGACTTCTTCCTTTTATTATGCCTCATTATTTTGGACATTTCAGGCCAGTCCAAAGAATTTATGATGAGTGTTTCATCCCAGGTTTATTTATTGATGATATTTATCCACCTTTATCTATGATTATGTATATAATTTGGGTTTAAAATATTGAGAATAACTTCAGGTGAGGCTATAATGAGAGGAAACTTCAACAGCATTATTTGTCTTCTGGGACTGCTCATGGGCTTTACCCTCGACCCCAGGAAAAACTGTCTTGTCTCAGAGAGAGTGCTGAGAATGTTTTCCAAATCCTATTATTTCTCCATGGTAAGGTTGCCAGATTTACTGAATAGAAACACATGATGCAGAGCAGTTTGAAATTCAGAAAGACAACAATGACTTTTTTGTACCACTATGCAATATTTGCTTACTTCCATGTAATATGTGTATGCAATATTTAGGACATACATATACTAAAATAATTTGTCATTATTTGCCTGATAATCAAATTTAACCAAGTGTATTACATTTTATTGCTCAGCTTGATTCTATGAGAAACATGGCGCTTTCCTGTCCAGGCCCAATACCGTCAAGACTGTCATTGGAAATTTTTTTTTTATATATCCAGCAAGAATACATTTTTTCAGTATGTGATGGCGATTTACAGAAAGCAGGCATGAATTTGAGGTGGCCAGCCATATATCTCATGAACTGATAAAATAATAAAATTTAAAAAATTTTTTAAATATTAAAATTTTTTATCTATGTCATTTTATTTAATATTTTTATTATCTCCTTTTGGGATATGGCTTGTGATACATGCTCTATGTTTTTAAAATGATTCACTTGTACAGTTATTAAATAATTACGCTTTTGTTAGTGGTCAACACCCAAATGCTGTTTTACTGGTACTGGACTGTGATCCCTAAAATTTGAATATCATTTGTCTCTTTAAGCAAATATCACCCTAATCCCTGGGACTCAACATGACAGCAGAACCCAGGTGTTCTGTGAGTACAGATATATGCTTGTGGGAACTACTAGTTTTTTGGCTCTGGCATTGGAGGTAAATTTGTCACATCAGATTAAACATTTGGAAAAATGGTTATAGCCATTTAATCAAATATATAATTATTGCTTTGTAAAATCATATATATCAGGTGATTATAGAGTGATATTTACCTCAGCAATGACGTTCTGAGTTTCAGCCAAGAATATTAACTCTCAAAATTTCTCCCCTGAAAACAAAAATGAATACTCTTTCCTTTCAACAGAAGGGTAAATAAAAGAATAAGTAATATAGCTATTTTTTTAAAATTCCTGGATCACATTAATTAGGTAAAATAACTATGTTTTCCTAGAGGGCAAACAACGTGATAAAATATGCAAAATTGTTCAGTGACATTTTACAAAGTGTTCTGATATTGGAAGTATTCTGACAAGACATGAGGATTCTTAAAGGCACAGGAGGATATCCTTTTATTACATGAAGTCCCATGAAAAAAAATCTTCATATAAACATTTTGATACAACTTTGTGGATGACATAATGTAGATTTGTGTGTTTGTCCTCCTGAAAATTGAGAGTTGGTCTTCAGCAATTCCCTTCTGATGTAAAAAGAGATTATAGAAGGAAACTCTGTGATTGAAAATAAAGGGGAGTGATCTCAATTTTAGGATCTTGTTGAATAAATTTTGTTAATAAGATTTGTAATAAAAATAAATAGTCCACTTCCAAATCTTCATGTCCTTAGTGTGAATGCATTAGGTTATATGACAATGACAACTAAAGCTATAGATACAAGGAAAATTAATAATTATCTGATTTTAAGGTGGGGAGATTATGCTGAAGTATCAGTATAAACCAAATGTAATCATGCGGGTCCCTAAATGCAGAAGGAGGAAGAAGAGAAAATGTCACAGTGTGATGTAACAATGACCTGGATGTTATTTTTTCCTAATTGCTTGGTGATTCTTTTGAAATTACCATAAAAGTTACAACAGTTCAATTACACAAACATCTATGAGTCCTTATATGGCTTTTTAGCATTCTTGGTATTGAGTATGAGACAGGGTAATGCACAACGGGAAAGCAAAACTTTCCATGAAAGAAATGCATAAGAGTATGGAGAATGGGTACATTATCCTGGCATGATTATGGATATGTTGTTTGAGATCTGTCTCCCTCTCTCTCCCCACCGCTCTCTTACCTCTTTTTCCTCTTCTCTCTCTTTTTGTAGATAGATGAAAGATAGACAAATAGGTAGATAGATGGCATATATATATATGTGTATACATGTATACATATATATATATATATATGTGTGTGTATGTATACATATATATATTCACACACCCAAATTGGTGAACAAATAATGTTGAGACTGCATTTCTCAGACTTTATACAACATAGTTTTACTGATTAATTGGGCAAAATCAAAATTAGGTGAAATAAAAATTGTGATGGTGGTTATTTCGACAACAAAGATAATGACATTGATGATGTGAGGTCTATTTTTTTCAGATATACAAAATGTGTTTTTTTTGCCACTATGGTGATCACATCTGCCATTTATGTTTCTGTTAAAATATGCCAATTTTTACAAGCTGGTCTTGGAGTCTCAGCCAACATCCTCCTCCTTGTCTTCCACATCTTCGTGTTCCTTCTGGATCACAGGCCTAAGCCCACTGACTGATCATCTGTCACTTGTCCTTTGTTCACCTAATGAATCTCTTTATTGAGCTGTCTTTATTGTCTGTGTTAGGGTCCGTGATCAAAGAACGAGACTGATCAAACAAAGCTTTATTTCACGCCAAGCATCAAAATCAAACTGACTGGTCAGGGCTGTCTCTTACGAAAAGGTGACGACGAAGATCCCGGTAAATCCGCTCCCAACGTGGCTGCTCTGGATTAGGCCTTTCTGTAGATGAGGCCGCTCTGGACGAGGCCACTCCCAGGACGAGGCCGCAGCTGATGAGGTCACTCTTCAGGGCTGCTCACTGAGGAAGCCTATCCAGATGAAGCCGCTCCACGGAATGGTGCAGCTCCAGCAAGGCTGTGGCTCAGGGTATCAAGGCCGCTCCTGGCAGCGAGGCCGTTCGCAGCGAGGTTGCTGGCGTCTGGGCCGTTCCCCTCTGTGTGTCAGCGGGGCCGCTAGTGTCGGGACCGCTGGCGTCTCGGCTGCTGCTGGAGTGCTGGGACCGCTGGACCGCTGGCGTGCTGGATCAGCTGGCGTTGGTACCTCTGGCGTCTCCGCTGCAACGGCGGGTCCGCTGCAGGTGGCTCCGCTGCTCCCCCCCACGACGCTGCCGAAGCTGCGGTATGGGCGGGGCTGCAGGCGTCGGAGCTGCCGGCGGCGGCTTGGGTCCTCTGGCGGCTTGGGTGCAACGGCGGGTCTAGCTCTGACAAGAGCTGTCACACTCTCACAGCTCTTACAAGAGCTGTTACAGCTCCTACAGCTCTTAACGAGAGCTCCAGGTCATCACCATCAGCCCCAGCACCTCCTGGTTGGCCAGGTTTAAATCTAAATTCACAAAGTACATCTTTCATTCTTTTGTCATCTTATAACCATAAGTTTGTCTCTCAGCAGTAACTGCATATTGTTTTCTGTCGCATCTTTCAACGTGACCCAGACCAATCTACTGAATGTCAGTAAACACTGCTCACTTTCCCCCATGGACTCCATCATTAGGGGGCTGATCTTAGCATTGATGATATCCAGGGATGTCTACTTTGTCGGAGTCATGCTGCTCTCGAGTGCATACATGGTGATTCTCCTGTCCAGGCATCAGAGGCGTTGCCAACACCTTCACATCACCAGCTTCTCCTCAAGAGCCTCTACAGAGAAAAGGGCCACCGAGACAGTCCTCTTGTTGGTGAGTTTCTTTGTGGTCGTGTACTGGGTGGGCGTCATCATCTCATTCTCCTCAACAATGCTATGGACTTATGACCCAGTCCTCTTGGATTTCCAGAGGCTTCTGTCCAATGTCTATGCCACTGTTAGTGCTTTGGTACTCATTAGTTCTGATAAAAGGATGAAAATGTGTTTCAGGAGTGTGGAAAAGTTACAAACAATTTCTAACTCCTTATTCATAAGATATGTACCCCCCCCAAAATGATTATTTGGCCTTTCTTCAAATGACATGGTATTTACTTAAATAACATTTAAAATTTAATTTTAATTTAAATGTAATTTTAAATTATATTTGAATTTATCTAAATATTTTTGAAACCTGTAGTATCATCAATCCTCCAGTTTCTTTAGTTTACTATCAAGGAGATTCAATATTCCTATATGATTACAAGTTCCTTTCTAAAACTCTCTTAAGGAGGGATTAACTGTACTTTAAAGTACTAATCAAAGAACTTTAATTAGTGATTAAATTAATTAAAGTGATTAATAATCAATTAATTGATTTAATAATTATTAATTGCTTTAAATAAATAAAATTAGTTTATATATATCTAGTAGTTAGTTATGCAAAAGATCTTACTTTTGCATAATGAAATACTAAATGAAATACTCATTTAGTGAGACACTACTTGTTGATTCCATTTAAACTGACAGTTTGCATTATAATTTCACAGAGCCCAGAGAATATGACATGTAGGGTTTCTGCTTTCATACATTTTATGGTTTTTTTTTTATGCCTTGAGTAGTGCCATTTAGAACAATTTTCTCTGGCAAATATAAAATGTTCATCATCTCTTTTCTCAACAACACTCCCAATTTGTCTGTCTCCTGGACTACTCAAACTACCTAATACAGTTATTTAATAAAGTTATTTAGTACTTATAAGGAGTTTGTTTTTCTATATATACAAACTCTTTATTACTATGATAGTTTTATTGCCACCTAATACAATCGTAAGTGTCTTAGTGTCTGTCTTGCAACAAATACTTGTTTCATACATAAATTCTTTGGTATTATATCTGTATGTGGATATGGTTTGGACACTGCCAAACTTGCATGTATAATTGTTAGCCACTCCATTTCATTAAATTCACATATCAATGCCATTCTTTATGTCATTTTATATGTTTTAGCTCAAATTTATTTTTGCTCTGTAATTATTGATGCAGAAGTGAAGGAAGTGTTAGTCTGTGGTCTTGACAAGATCCAAAATCAAAAGGCAGTTTCCTATTTGTTTTGATTCTGTATTGTATTTGTCCCACATAAAATATATGAGTAGTAAGTATAGCAGTGATAGTGATACTCTCCTTCTTAAAACAGAAGAAACTGTGAGTGTGGTATTTATAGTTGCCTCCAAAATCTCATTCTTTTACATTATTAATCCTTATTTTTCCATTTCAGCTGGTGGAAGTATAAAAACATGAAATGCTACCAACTAGATTAAATTCCAAATAAATATATATTATCTAAGTAAACTCAAGAAGGAATATATGAATAGACCTATAACAAGTAAAGAGAGTAAAGAAATGTTTTCACAGACATGAAGAGTGCCCAGACTTATGTAGATTTCCTCTTAAATTTATGAAACATTAGTTGTTTCTTCCTTTACTTATTTATTTATTTATTTGAGAAAGAGAGAGTGTTGGGGGAGAAGCAGAGGGAGACAGACAAGCAGACCCCATGCTGAGCCCAGAGCCTGACATGGGGCTAGATCTCAGGACCCTGAGATCATGGCTTAAGGCAAAATCAAGACTCAGATGCTTAATCGACTCTTTCACAGGTGCCTCTATGAAATATTTAATGAAAATTTTTGAAAATAACAATCCTTTACAAATACTTTCAAAAGAAGAGAACTAGAAAATTGACCAATTCATTTACCAATACATTTTATGAAGCAATTTATTACTCAGAAAACAGAGCTAGACAAAACCATCACGAGTAAATATAGACTATTATCTCTCATGAATATAGACACATAATTTAAAAATGTGCAAACTGAATCTACCAACATATAAAATAATTATAAACTATGAATCAGAAAGGTTATATCTCAAATGCAAATTTTGTTTGATTTATTTCTTTATTCCCAAATCAAGCAATGTAACGCAACATACTGACAGATTATAGAATTAAAAATAATTATTATAATAAATATGCAAAACACTTGAAAAAGCAAAGACCCAATTGCATAAAACTCTCAGCAAACTAAGAGTAGAAGAAAAATTTTTAGACTCACCAAAGAGCATCTATGAAAGATGTACAGCCAGTGTCACAGTTAATGGTGAATAACCAACTATTTTATAGCCCATTGTTTGGGATTACAAAAAGAAAATCCTGGCTGAGCCCAACTGTGCGCCCTCAGCCACCAACACATGCCAGACCCAGCTGCATGCCCCAGCTGTCTTTACTCACTAAACCCAGCTGCATGGACCCCTGGCCACCCTCTTGTACCACACCTATCTACCAAGTGCACAGCTGCAGCCACCCACCTCATCTAACCACTTCATCATGCCCAGCCACATGACCCCTGGCCACTTAGTGCCCCACTTCAGCTTCACCATCTTGGCTGTCCAAGTGCATAGCCCCCAGTCACTACAGTATTTCAGGAAACCCAGCATAGGACTAGGGCAAATTTTAATAACACTGCTGCCCCACTCCCAAGTTACCCAATGGGAATGCCACCATAAAGCTGGCCTGTGTGGGTCCTGGTAATAACACAGAAAGCAAGCCCATTCCTCAACAGGCAGAGTCAGGGCAGATAGCTACACTGAAAAGAAAAGTGAATTAGGCATAATATTAGGGTGTCAGCAACAAACATAAGATACTGTCTTGAAATGTCAGGTTCTGGTAAACAGGGGACAAAACAGTACAGGACCCCTTCATCATAAAGTCACTACTTTCAAGAGCAGAAGACACAGTTGACTTTTTTTTTTAAACACAGAGAAACTGACACAGAGAGGCAGATGAAATGAGGAGACAGAAATTTACCCCAAATGAAAAAAAACAGAAAAAAAAAAAAAACAGGACAAGGCCACAGCCAGAGATCTAAATGAAACAGGTATAAGTAACATGCCTGATAAAGAATTTAAAGCAATAATCATAAGGATACTTGCAGGACTTGAGAAAAGAATGGAAAATGTGAGTGGGACCCTTAACACAGAGGTAAGGAATAGCATAATAGAGATAAAGGGCACAATATATGAAATGAGAAACATGCTTGATGGAATGAAAAGAAGGATGGAAGAAGCAGAGGAACAAATTAGTGACCTAGAAGACAGGTTAATAGAAAGTAATCAAGCTGAACAACAAGAAAGGAAGAAAAAAAGAAAGAAAGAAGGAAGGAAGGTAGAAAGGAAGAAAGGAAGAAAGAAAGAGAGAGAGAGAGTGAAAGGAAAAAAAGAAAGAAAGAAAGAAAGAGACTTATGCAAAATGACAATAGACTTAGGGAACTCAGTGACTCCGGCAAATATAATAACAAGTTTATTATAGGAATGCCAGAAGGAGAAGAGAAAGATAGGGGGGCAGAAAATTTATCTGAAGAAATAATAGTAGAAAATTTCCTTATCTAGGGAAAGAAGTAGATATTCAGATCCAGGACACAAGAGGGCCCCAAACAGAAACAACAAAAGCAAACAAACAACAAGATATGTTGTAATTAAATTTACAAAATATAGTAATAAAAACATCTCAAAAGCAGCAATACAAAAGAAGTAATTGACTTACCAGGGAAGGCCCACAGGCTGGCTGGAGAGGTCTCAACAGAAACTTGGCAAGACAGAGGGGAGTGTCATAATATATCCAAAGTGCTAAATGGAAGAATTCAGCAGCCAAGAATACTTCATCCAGCAAGGCTATCATTCAGAATAGAAGGAGAGATAAAGAGTTTCCCAGGAAAACAAAAACTAAAGAAGTTCATGACCCCTCAATCAGGCCTGTGAGAAATGTTAAGAGGACACCTTGAGTGATCAAAAGAGACCAAGAGTGACAAACAAGAAATGATCAGAGAAAATCTACAGAAACATTGACAAAACAGGTAATAAATTGGCAATAAATATATATCTATCAAAATTACTTTGAATATAAATGGACTTATATCTCCAATAAAAAATATAGGGTGTCAGAGTGGATTTAAAAAAAAAAAACCAAGACCCATCTATATGCTGCCTACCACAGACTCATTTTAGACTTACAGTCACCTGCATATTGAAAGTGAGGAGATGGAAAAATAATTATCAAGCAAAGGACCATCACAAGAAAGCCAGACTAGTGATATTTATATCTGACAAACAACTTCATTATTATTTTTTATTTTTATTTATTTTTTATTTAAATTCAATTAATTAACTTATAGTGTACTATTAGTTTCAGAGGTAGTTTAAGGATTCATCAGTTGCATATAACACCCAGTGCTTATTACATCAAGTGCCCTCCTGTATGCCCATCACCCAGTTACCCCATCCTCCAACATACCTCCCCTCCAGCAACCCTCAGTGAGAAACTAAAACAGTATTTTAAAACAAACACTGTAATAAGATGAAAAGGGGCAATATAAAACAACGAAAGAGACAAACCAGGAAGAAGATATAACCATTGTAAATATGCACACAAAAGAGGAACAAGAAAATATATAAAACAATAACAAAAATAAAAGAACAAACTGATTATAAAATAATAATAGTAGGGGGATTTAACACCCCAATTACATCAATGAACACATCACTAAACAGAAAATATATAAGGAAACAATAGCTTTGAGTGACACACTGGCCCTAATGGATGTAACAAATTCAGAAAATTCATCTGAAAACAGCAGAATACACATTCTTTCAAGTACACAAGGGACATTCTCCAGAATGGATCACAGATTAAGTCACAAAATAGGCCTCAACAAAGAAAAAAAGGTTTGAATTCATACCATGCATATATATTTTTTTAATTAAATGAAATTAAATTTTATGTTGTATTTTATTTAAATTCAGTTAGGCAATATATAGTATAACCTTAGTTTTTGGTATAGTGTTCAATGATTCATTACTTTCCTCCCAGTGCTTATCACATCAAATGACCTCCTTAACATCCATCACACAGTTACCCCATCTCCCCACCAACCTCCCTTTCCACAATCCTGTTTTTTTTCCTGGAGTCAACAGTCTCTCATGGTTTTTCTC